TTGATAACAATTAGGGTAGGTTAGTATGATTATGGAAACATTTCTTGAAGAGAGACAACTTATAATTTTGTCTCCAATCTTGTCTCTACAGGTGCCTAGCTTGATACATGAACCATCTTCTCTTGCTTGCAGTGCTCTATTTCATATAATTTGATAGAAGTAGTACAACATGGTGAGAAGCACATTGAGAAAGAAGTCTACACATTTGGGTTCTGATCCTATGTCTACCATAATCTGACCCTTTATCCTTGAATTGGAAATGTATTTCTTTCCTATATCTCCTTATCTGCAAAAACTATAGTAGTGATATTATTGTTCTACTTAGCTCAAAGGGATGATGCTCGGCTAACATGAAGTTATTTTTGCCATGTATGCTACTCATTTCAGTTCTCATTTCAGTTCTCATTTGTCATGTATGCTACTCACTTCAGCATTATTTCTGGTGGTAGAGATTTTTTATGAAAAATAAAACAAAATTTCATTAGAAAATACTAAGATAATAACGACATTTCATACTCTGTGTATCATTATTTTTGAAGTACTTACTCAGAGTAGAAGACAGACCAAAATGATTTTTTGGGGTACAGGGGATTGAACTTGGAACCTTGCACTTGCGAGGCAGGCGGTGGCACCATTGAGCTAAATCCCCAGCCCAAAATTATTCTTACAAGAATATTTTAATAGCTAGATGTTGGAAGTTGATTAAAAAAATGTTTCCAACAAACGATACATGCTCCTTAGAGTTTGGAGAGTTTGGCAGGGTTAATACAGAGCTTGTGGAATTTGTATTAATTGGCTAATTTATTGCAAATTTATACTAATTGAGTGATGGGATTTCTGCCACAATAGAACGCACAACTGCCAATGAAGTCCCTGTTCCCAAATGAAACCAAGACAGCCTCATCTTTATTCTCCACATTCTGGTCTTCACAGCTCTATCCAGAATATTCATGAGGCTCTACTTACAGCATTCCAAAGTTGCTTCAAACTGCATCTCCAGACCTTTCCAAATAATCTCACAAATCAGTTCCAAAGGCTTCTAAACCATGTGGTCAGATTCAGTCACAGTACAGAATTCTGGAACCAATTTTCTGTATTTTTCACTTACTTGCTGATATACAACACCTAAGAGCCACAACTTAAAATGGATTAGGCTGAGTTTGGCTCATGTTAGGGGATTCAGTCCATAGCTCTCTTTCTGAGACAGCACCATTATGGTGTAAAGACGACAGAAGAAAGATGTTCACCACATGATGGACAAAAAGCAGAGTCGAGGAGCAGTGCCAGGGAGGAAAGTTAGCGACCAGATTTAATACCCAAGGTCATGCCTCCATGACCCACCCAGATACACTCAAAGGGGTATCTATTTAAGTTCCTCAGTGGCTTACAAGCCAGTCAAGTAGACATATTTAAAACTAACAACACAAGTTCTTTAAATAGGAAAGATAGGTGCAGGGAGTATCGATGCTAATCACCTAAACTGAAGACAGCATTTTAGGGAAACAGCAAGTAGCAGAAATTTATTAGCTGCTATGTAAAGGCATATATTATTTTGCCTAACGCTTCTATCCAGATTTTGATTAATAGCTTTGTGTTATATATTCAACTCAGTCCAATTTTACTAATATTCTTTGAATGGTTAATTAATTATAGGTTGGGTCTTGGTTATATACTGATCAACAAACACATTTTTATGATTTTCATGAAGTTACCACTGCAAGTGAAATAGCCAATAGACAAGTAAACAACATCTGAACTACAAATGTTCATGAAATGAAGTAAAAGAATAAAGAGCATGAGGATATGTAATATGTGAGATTCCCTTGATAGCGTTGGTGATGAATATCTCTCTTACTTGAAAACTGAGATTAAAAAGGGATAGTATGGCCAGGGATTTAGCTCAGTGGTTCTGCTGCCTGTCTCACAAGCACAAAGTCCTGAGTTTGATCCCTGGTACCAAAAACAAACAAACAAAAAACAAAACAAAACAAAAAACAAAACAAAACAAAACAAACACAAAAAAAACAAAGGAGGCAGAAATAGAAAGATCTGAAGAAAGAGAATTCAGATAGAACAACATAAACAGGTATTGAAGTCTTTGTAATACAAAAAGCTTGGCTTGTGCTAGGAACTATGATATCTCAGTGTAGCTCAAATGAGAATTAACTGATGTCTAAAGATCCAAAAGCCATAATAGATAAAGCCTTTAGACCATAGTGATAAGTTTAGAATTAATGCTAACAGAAAATGAGAACTAGTAAAGGATTTTAAATAAAGCAATGACAGGGCTAGAGATTTAGCTCAGTGGCTCCGCTGCCTTCCTCACAAGCTGAAAAATTTCATTAAAAAAACTCAACCTACCTTCATTCAGTCTGTAAGAAAGAAAAAATTTTGGAAAGCAGACTATGAGACAATAAGCTCACACTAAACTGTGAGATTCAGAGACATATAAAGTCACAATAAAAAAGAGGTGTGAAATTCAACTCTAGCTTGCGGTTTTCTCCAATTAGGTTCTGTTATTTAATATAGAAGTGCAATCAAGTGTACCTCTTAAGTAAGTGAAACTGTTCATACCAATGAAACAAAAATAAACAGCTATGTTTATTAGTGCAAAAGTGGAAGTTTGATTTGAATAAGTGTTTTTAGTTCTTGGAATTGAAATGCACTTGTAACTTTGCTCTCAGTGTTTTTATGCATGATGTATGATGCAGTGCCCATACTGAAGTCAAAGTGGGTACTGGGGAGGGATGGTTGGCATGCATATGAGTGAGCAGGTATTTACTTCTGTCCTGAGAGACAAACTATAGGAGTTTAGAGTCATAAGATCATAGTGTCTTAGAATGGAATTAGAAAAGCTCTATGATATAGTGTTTTTCACATGTCAAAAAGAATGTCATTTAAGCTAGCTGCATTCTACTATAGCCTCTCTTAGTCAGGAAGAGGCCAGTGGCATGGTGAAACTAGCAAATCTTCTCTTAGTCATTTTCCTTATCATTTCTAGTGGCATAGAGAGAGCAGAAATGATCTTGCTTTCTTAATCACTTTCTTCATCATAGGGACAAAACATTCAAGACCCACAACTTAAAGGTGGACACATTTATTTTGGCTCATTTCAGCAGCCTTAAACACAGAAACTGGCATGGTGTATGGGCTTGGATAGAGGAAAGCTGCTCACATCATAGCAACCAGGAAGCAGAGAGAGAAAAAGGAAGAGCCAGAGAGGGAGATATACCCTTCTAGGTCATGGCCCCAGTAACCCACTTCTAAACAGGTCCCATCTCCTAACGGCAGGTCAGCTGTATCAGCACACCCCTCTGATAATTCCATTACCTCCCATGAGGCCAGCCTCTGAATGTATGAGGCCCGGGTAGGGGGCATTCCAGATCCCAACCACGATACCTGCATTATGCTAAATCCTATCAGTGCAGTTTTAAAGTTTTCTTACTTAAGACAATTTATTACATCTCTCTGTACCTCAGTTTTTTCATCTGCATTCTGAAGGTAATAATAATTCTATGTCTTCCAACATTTCAAATAATTAAATTAGATAATATGTGTGGAAACTTCTTTTGTTGATTCTTTTTTCATTAAATTTATTGGTAATTTTTAGGTATACAGTACAGTTACATTCATCATTGGAATCTTGTACCTTTACATGACACATCTTGTTTCTTATTTTTTCCCCATACTGCCGCCCTCCCTTCACCCCCCACCCTTCCCTACTTACAGAGACTTTGTTTCCGTTTTTCCTTTTCTCATATTTTTCCTGTGTTTCCTTGCACTTGAAGTCCTAGATATTTCTTTTAAGAGATTTGTGGACATGATAAACTCCTTTCTTTGCTTTGCTTTTTTAACCTGTATTAAATAGAGTCCAAATTAAATCATTTCTAAAGGTCCTTCTCAGTCTGAATATTGCAAAGATAATTAAAATCAGATTTAGTCAATTGCTATCCTTTGATTTTAATCTGAAATTTGTACAACTTCATGACCAGACCTTGAGAAGCTCTAAAAATTACCCTACTCTGTCCCTATCCTAATACACAATAAAAACCCACACTAAAGCATATAACATCACTAAAGATGTCAAAAAATGTCTCCCTGTAATTAGTACTTTGATGATTGAAAAAATTAACTCTTAAATTATTTTCAGAATTTATTTTGGTAGTCCTGCTTTGCTGGTGCCTTTAGAGATGTTCTCTGTGATTGTTGGTAAATATATCATACTCATGGTATCATACCAGTACAAGGTTCCTCTTCGAGGAAGAAATTGGTCTTTTTCAAGAGGACATGGGGAGAAATGCACTAGTTCAGTTTTAAAATTCATATATTGAAGTTTTTCATGTAAATGTAGAATGAGATATAACCCAGTGGGGATGGACTGAAGGAGAACCTCAGAGTCAGAAGCTATTATAATAAAATAATGTAGGCTCAAGTAGGCAGGCCATTTTCTAAATTCTGACATTTCATTGTAGGAAGTCAGGACCCAATGAGCAAGGTGAAGAAAGGAGAAGCATGGGTATCTAAAAGATGAGGTTGAATTTCTTCTATTGCTATTGTGAATGAGCAGCATTCACTCTAACCAGTGCTTTTGATAAGGAAAATTTTGAGGAGAAAGAAATATAGTCAAATGTTATATTGTTTCTACCTTTGTGAGAACAATAGATTGAATATTTCAAGAAAACCTTCCTGGTAAGACTTAATGTGGAGAATCTGAGAAAGCAATTATGAGATAATTCCACCATTCCTTAGTTGATTCCCTGGGAGACTCGTCAGTCATAAATTTTGCTTAAGCCTTTGCATTTTATTCTGTAAGTAGATCCCTTCTAATTTTAATATTCAATCTATTCTGGGCTGGGGCTTTAGCTCAGTGGTTCCACTGCCTGTCTTACAAGCTCAAGGACCCAATTTCAATCCAGGTACAAAAATAAATCTAGGTAAAAGAGGTCTAGTTGTTGACTAAGGACTACTTAACTGTTTCACTCATTGTTTTCTTTGAACAGAGATCATAAACCAATGACTTACCTTGATGAATATACTGAAATATTCAAGATGGATAGCAATGGTATCAGCAATACTGAGACTACCTGCAATATCACTAATATGAAATTTCAGTACTCCCTCTATGCAACAACCTACATCCTCATATTCATCCCTGGTATTCTGGCCAACAGTGCAGCCTTGTGGGTTCTATGCTGCTTCATTGGAAAGAAAAACAAAGCCATCATTTTCATGATCAACCTCTCTGTAGCTGACCTTGCTCATGTGCTGTCCTTACCCCTTCGGATTTACTACTACATCAACCACCACTGGCCTTTCCAGAGGGCCCTTTGCCTGCTGTGCTTTTACCTAAAGTATCTCAATATGTATGCCAGCATTTGCTTCTTGACATGCATCAGCCTTCAGAGGTGCTTCTTTCTCCTCAAGCCACTAAGAGCCAGAAACTGGAAGCGTAAGTACGATGTGGGCATCAGTGCTGCCATCTGGATCATAGTGGGGACTGCCTGTTTGCCATTCCCCATCCTGAGAAGCACTGGCTTAGGCAACAACAGTGACTCCTGCTTTGCTGATCTTGGCTACAAGCAAATGAATGCAGTGGTTTTGGTCCCAATGATTACAATTGCTGAACTTGCCGGATTTGTGATTCCCGTAATCGTCATTGGATGTTGTACATGGAAAACCATTATATCCTTAAGACAACCACCGATGGCTTTTCAAGGAATCAATGAGAAGCAAAAAGCACTACGGATGGTTTTCATGTGTGCTGCAGTCTTTGTTATCTGCTTCACTCCCTATCATATTAACTTTTTTTTTTATACCTTGGTAAAGGAAACCATTATTAGCAGTTGTTCCATTGTCAAAAGTACACTGTATTTCCATCCTTTTTGTATTTGCCTTGCAAGTCTCTGCTGTCTTTTTGATCCGATTCTGTATTACTTCATGGCTTCAGAGTTTCGTGACCAACTATCTCGCCATGGCAGCTCCGTGACCCGTTCTCGTCTCATGAGCAAGGAGAGTGGTTCATCAGTGGCTAACTAAAAAATAAAATAACTTTTTAATTATGAACCCAATGTTCTTAGGATTTTTGAAAAGGCCAGATTTATCAGCCAGATAATTTCTTTAATTGAACCTTTGAAAGAACAGAAATAGATTTTTTGGGGGTGATAATTGTGGTCATAAGAAGAAGGATGTTGGAGGCAGAGTATGAAAAATGTGGGATGAGAATGTAAGATAGAATTTAACCTATTTCTTTTTTTTTTAAATTTAAGGCATCCTATTAGTTAAGAGCCCTGGGATCTTGCTGAGTAGATCAGAACAAGGTAGAAATTACATTGTTACTCAAGTTTGTTCTGGATTTTCCATCCCTTGCCTGAGCATAATTTTTTACAGATATTTTTAACCAAATAAAAATTGTCTACTTTAGATTAAAAATTTATTCAGTGAATTGCATATTGTTAATAAGATACAGTCAACAAAGGTGTCTTTTTTAGCAGGTAAAATGAGACCTCATTCATATGATCTTCACTTCTCAAAGTATCCAGCCTAATAGATAAAGTCATAGGCAAAGGGGCATGAAGGATTTAAGCAAAATGTATATGTTTCCAGACTCTAACCTTGTTACTGGAGTAAGGTTATGTAAATTTATCCATTCCTTGAAAATTTATTGAAGGTCTATTGTATTCTGGGATATTACTTTTTTAGCTCCTTTCGTATATAGCATATTATCTGGCCCCTGCATTATTCTCATGTGGAAATTAATAAATGGAATACAAATGAATAAATGGTATCTCAGAGAAATGAAACATCTTGCATTGGGACAAACAGTGGTAAGACAAAATTTGCTCAGAATATAGCACAAATGCTCAAGTTATTCCCTTTGATTGTGTTATATGTCTTGAGTTAATGCTGCTTGATTTCAATGGTGAAAACAGACAAAAGCTAAGACATATTAGATGAAAGCCATTTCAATCTGATTTTCAAAGTCATATCAGTATTTAGGTTACAAGGTTTCCAATGACAGATACAATGTTCTAATAGTGTACCAATTTAAAGCTTTCTGATGATAAAGGAGTGTAATAAGCTCAAATATTTCAATGTTTTCTACAAAACATACTTAAGGAATAACAAAGTTCATATAAAACCCATAATTTCATTAAACACAGTTGTAGTTCTGAATGATGAACATTTGATAAAATATAGACTTTAAAATATATGCCATATTCTTAATACTACATGTCACTCAGAACACATTTATGAGACTTTTAAGAAGCTTTTCTGTAAGCAGAGCACACAGTATATTTGAAATGGAAGCTATTATCACATTGTGAATGAGTATGAGAAATAATTTGTATCTCTTCCTGGAAATTTTCTCATATTAATTCTTCCAAAGAGTATGGATATTGTTTCAGCATCATTAAGGTAGATTTGAAGTTAAGCAATCCTTCAGCTTGGAATTTGTGAAGCTCAATTCATCACGTTTACCTTGTATATCTGATATTGTTTCTCCTTACATTTTCTGCATATTTTCTAAGAATGTAGGCCTTTGGTGTTCAAAGAAGATAAGTTTTTTTTATATACTGGGGGACAAACTTGGGTCCTTGTGCTTGCGAGGCAGGCAGCAGAACCACTCAGCTAAATCCCCAGCACAAAAAAGATAAGGGAAATGGAAATCATTAGAGTGCCTATTTGGACAGACTGGCTATAGAAAAGGAAGAAGACAAAAATAAAAGTAGGAATTTTTTAAAAAGTTCGCTGGTTGTAATTATTATAAAGTAATAAAATGTGTGTGTGTTTGTGTGCCCATGCTCATGTGTGCAAGCTCATGCACCTGCACTATATTAACCCTTATCTGTAGGCACCACCTAACAGGGCTTCCAAATGTACTTGGAATTAAGGGCAGCATTATCAGAATCACTGTATGCATGGCTGCAATTTAAAGAGATGACTCTGAAAGAAATTTATTTGGAAATACATATCCTGGTATGTTTATGGAGAAAAAGAACCTCATCCATCAAGGATCAAACTTCATATTCCCACCTTTCAAGTGGTTGCTGATAGGTGCTGCTTCATGGACTGACTATGTGGTTTAGTGGGTAAATTAAAATATGTAGCTTTTTTTTTGGGCCACTATTATGATGGATTCTTTGGGTTGTTTATGATATATTAATCCCTTATGTTGTCAGAGAGAAAAACAAAACAAAACAAAAAATCCAAACAAGCAATTGTTGATTATTTGTTTGAATTTAATTTTATTGGCCCACAGTCCACTTATCTCACATTCATCATAGGGAATTTATACCTGTACATAATATATCTTGATTTTTAACCCTTCTTCATATGCTTATTTACAAAATTTTTTTTCTCATTTTTTACTCCTATTCCCTTTTCTTTCTTTTTTAATGATTTCATTATTAATTTAGATGTTTAAGCTCTCGCACTAAGTTTTTACAAGCTGGTGGACACTGACAAATTATTTCTTCCACAGAACTATAACCACACACTCCCAGACAATATAAATATATGGTTGAACTAACATTAATACACATCACCATTTTATCAATTACATAATAATACAAACTATCAAGTATCCAAATATTAAGTTACACAGCTCAAAAGGCATATAAAATATTACATGTCTGCTCAATTCATTAGCAGAAATTCACTTCTGTTTATTGCAAGAGGTTGGGAAGAGAAGAAAAAAATAACATTTCAAACAAAAATACATTGGTAAATAACTTCTGATAAGTATGAAAAAATTACAAGAATTTCAGAAATTTTATGATTGAGAATGGTTCTGGCTATAATAACAAAGCATCTATACATTTTAAAAATATTTACTAAATTAAAGAGCACATTCTACATGTTCTGCACAAGACAAAGGCAACATTTTACTAAAAATATTTACTAACCCAATCCTAGGCTTTTTTCAGGCCCTCCCTGTTAAGCTGCACCTTGAAGGCAAGCATTAAGTTAACCATAAGCCTTTTTGGTCTGAGATATTAAAGACATGTGCCTCTGTAACAATGTAGATTTTCAAAATAGAGGTTTCCCAGAACTGCGCAAAATAAAAACCTTGTAGAAAGACATATAATAATCATTGTAAGACTTGGTAAAAATAAAAAAGAACCATTAATGTTTCCTCAAACCTGATGCAGAATGGTATGAGTGTGAGATGTAACCATAAAGCAAGCAGACATGTTTGAAATGACTGAAGGAACAAACCACTGTCTAGAGTGTTCTCAGTTCCCAGAATTTTGGTTCTATGTGATATTAAGAATATAAGAGTACTGTGCTGGGTATTTAGCACCTACTTACTAAATTTATTATGTATCTTCTTTTCAGCTGCACATGGGTCATTCGCCAAGATAGATCACATACTAGCTCACAGAACAGGTTTGAATAAATGCAAAAGAATCAAAGTTATTCCCTGAGTATTATCAGATCATAGTGCAATCAAGCTGGAGATCAATAGCACAAGAAACCATAGGAGCTCCACAAACACATGGAAATTGAACGACACTCTCCTGAACAATCAATGGATCACAGAGGAAATTAAGGAAGATATCAGACAGTTTTTACAAATAAATGAAAATGCCAGTACAACATACAGGAATATATGGGACACAATGAAAGCAGTTCTACATTGAAAATTCATAGCACTGAATGCCCACACTAGGAAAACAGAGTGAGCTCAAATAAACAACCTAATGATGAATCTTAGACTCCTAGAAAAACAAGAGCAAGAAAAACCCAAAGCTCAAAGAGAGGAAATTATAAAGATAAGACCAGAAATCAATGCAATGGAAACGAAGAAAATGATACAAAAATAAATGAATCTAAGAGTTGGTTTTTTGAAAGAATAAATAAAACTGATAAACCCTTAGCTAACCTTATCAAAAAAGGAAAGAAAAGGCTCAGATCCATGCAATCAGGAATGAAAAAGGTGAAGGCACCACAGATCCAACAGAAATCCAGAGGATAGTTAATACCTACTTTGAAAAACTGTACTCTAGTAAAATGGGAAATACAGAAGAAATGGACAGATTTCTAGATATTTATGAATTACCAAAGTTAAACAAAGAAGAGAAAACATTTGAAACACCCTACTTACAACCAGTGAAATTGAAAATGTAATTAAAATTTTACCAACAAAGAAATGCCCAGGTCCTGATGGATTCACTGCTGACTTTTACAAGACATTTAGAGAACAACTATGGCCATCACTCTTCAAACTTTTGAAGGAAATTGAAAGGGAAGCAATACTTCCAAATTTATTCCTGAAGCAAGTATCACTTTTATTCCCCAACCAGGGAAAGATGCAACTAAAAATCTGAACTACAGGCAAATCTCCTTAATGAATATAAATGAAAAATTCTTAATAAAATACTAGCAAACAGAATACAGAGGATCATCAAGAATATCATACATCCTGACCAAGTCGGATTTATTCCAGGAATGCAAGAATGGTTCAACATATGTAAGTCAATAAATGTAATACACTATATTAATAGAATCAAGGACAAAAACCACATGATCCTCTCAATAGATGCATAAAAAGCAGTTGACAAAATTCAACACCCACTCTTGATAAAAACACTGCAAAACGTTGAAATGGATGGTCTATATCTCAACTTAATAAAGGCTGTCTATGAAAAACCAACAGCCAACTTCACATTAAATGGCCAAAAACTGAAAACCTTCATGTTAAAGTCAGGAACAAGACAAGGATGCCCATTGTCACCACTCCTCTTTGATATAATCCTGGAAACATTAGCCATAGCAGTTAAACAAGAGAAAGAAATTAAAGCAATAAAGGTGGGAAAGGAAAAAGTTAAAGTGTCATTATTTGCTGAACAATATGATACTCTACACTGAAGACACAAAAAACTACCAAAAGACTTCTAGACTTAATTGACACTTTCAGCATAGTAGCTGGATACAAGGTCAACACCCAAAATCAATAAACTTCTTGTACACAAATAACAGACTCACTGAGTGGGAAGTTAGGGAAACAATTCCTTTCACAATATCATCCTCCAAAAATTAGTATTTAGGAATCAATCTAACAAAAGAAGCAAAAGAACTCTGCACTGAAAACTACAGCACTCTGAAAAAAGAGATTGAAGAGGATATAAGAAAATGGAAAGATATCCCCTGCTCTTGATTAGGAAGAATCAACATAGTGAAAATGGCCATACTACCAAAACTGCTATAGAGATTCAATGCAATGCCAATTGAAATTCCAACACTATATTTCACAGAACTAGAAAAAAGAATCCAAAAATTCATTTGGAACCTAAGAAACCTAGAATAGCAAAAGCCATCCTAGGCAACAGACACATGACAGTGGGTATAAAAATTCTCAATTTGAA